GCCCGGAAAAGGTAAGGGATCTCCTAAGCAGTAAATAGAGTGGGTAGAAATGAAGTTAGGCATAAAAAGTCAACTCATGTTTGCCTGATGATATCCGCTCCAATACAGAATCGACAAGCGAAACAAATTACGCAAGTGGACTTGGAGCCCGCGTGCTCGCAGTCTTGTGACTAATAACACTGATGGTCTGGGTTGCAGTTTCCGCCGAGCCGAGCGTAAGTGCCCGTCGCAGTTGACGTCAGACGGCGGACGCCGGACGAGCAAGACCGACAGCCGTGAAATAATGCTGCCGGAAGTCTTCCACAATTCATTCGTACCGTTCTCAGATAAGACGTGCCGTATTTTTCACCTGTATAATTATGAGCGTTTCCTCGAGACAGCTTGACAGTTACAGCAATACGAAAAGTAAAGACTTTGCCATTACTTTTCCAGCTCTGCCACCAGCCTCCAGCTCCAGCTCGCGGCGCTGTAGATACCGGTTCGTTCTGGTGATCTAACTAAAAAGGATTAATCCTATGATTTACCTAGCCCTGATTGCTATCGGTTTGGAAAGAGTCTTGTGAAATGTATGGCGCCAGCACTTTATTCCATGCAGTCATTTACCGCCTGGTTTCTTCAGTTTATTGACTTCAAAATAGGAAACGAAGGAAGCCGCATCTTCCGCTAGCTTTTGGCTTCTGCTTACGTTAAAAAGGTAAAAAGAAATAATGAGACGAAGAAATTCATGCCCCCTCAAACTCAAGTAGGCCATATTCGGTGAATTTTGTTTAGGGGATTTCACCAACAGGGATCCTTTTATCAATCCTGCGCATTTTCCTCCATGTATCCAGGTTTGCTCATGCGCAGTTTTAGCTGTTCAAACCCCTCCTGCCTACAGAGGACCCCTCTGGGCAGCGAGGGGTTCCTGGCCGGAGGCGTTTCCTGTAACTGTTCGTGCGGTTCACGGACCGTCCGTAGGTCCTGCGGTCACCGCTGGGCAGCTTTAATTGCTCAGAGGCCCTTCTAGCCATCTTAGTACTCCTATGGCTTGTCAAGGTCCACTGGTCTCAGAAAGTCTCCCCCCCCCCCCCCCCCCCAGGCCCCGGAAAACCTAACGGGCCGTTTGTCTCGAGCGCGGCGTTCCGAGGAGTTCAAAGCGAGGTCCGGAGGTAATCCAAAGCGTGTGTCCAGGTTCAGGCTGTAGGAGGGCTCTTTTCGGGTCGGAAATGGGGCGGGACGAAATAAAGTGAACAAGTTGGAAGAGAAAAGTATACCATACTCCGGTGAAATACATTACTCCGGTAAGAGCAGAGCTCTTAATCGACCAGGATAATCCGGGTACCTTTGCACAAAACCCTGGCTTGGAAATGCTAATGAGATCTGTAGACCATTCAAGTCTAGTCTTCATAGTTTGGAGGGAATTGTGCTTTTCGAAACAGTGTTGCTGATAAACACGCTTTGCTCAAGTTTCTGCCCGCCGTAATCGCGGGAAGATGCTGGTGACTTGCTTTGGCCCCCATTGGGAAGATAGACAACGCCGCCCGTAGACGACGTATTTCCAGTCTAAACAGATTTGTGCTCAAAGAGGTATAAGTGGTGCTCAATTTGTTTCGACTATGCAATATATCGTCGAACCAGTGATGGATGTCAGCAACATTTTGAGCGTGATTACGCGATAAAGGGCGGGCAAAATCTGGAAAATTTGGAAACATTTTAGGATATTATTTAAACAAAGACAGACGCCGAAGTACAGCAAACAGTGATGCGAGTTTAATGCGCGCTTTGGGTGAGTCAAAATGCGCAACGAAGGATGTGTTGAGCTTTTGTATGAAAAAGCATTGAGCGGGACGGGACCGGTGATCATGCAATCGGGACGAATAGGTCCTAAACACATATGAGGTGTTCGTTCCAACGGCGATAAATTCTTCATTCATTCTACAAATATTCCATGAGAGCCAATCAACGTCAGTTATATCTCGAAATCGCACTCATGAATGCCCTGTGTGAACGACTCAACAATGATATTTTTGTTTACCTTGATTGCGGCGTGGTCAGTGAAATGGCAGGATTTAAATAGTGTTAGTATGGCGTCACGAACACCTGAGTGGCCTTGAAATAGTCTACACGAAAAAAACTGTACATCTTAGCAGGCGTATACATAAGAAGCTGGAGAGATTTAGGTTTTAAGAAGAGTGGGACTGTGGATTATGCCGAATGGTCTTCAAGATGACTATTGCAGTTCAAAACCCCTCACTCCCCCTGCCCCCCCCCCCCCCCCGTAGCACGCCAGACCTGTTCACAACTGGGATCTCTACGGGACCATCACATCGCTCCGGTACGAAAAGACTGAGCAGAACATTTCTACTGAGCAACTGGGGAGCGCCTGGAGGGAGTGGAAGGGGGAAGCAACAAGCCGCGCGGGCACGTACTGAACAGTGAACAGTGAAACCGGAAGCACCTCTGCCCGGTCGCCTGCCCGGGCCCGGCCGCTTCCTGTTCGAGCCGCCCGATGATCATTAGTTCGAGCGTAGATAGTGTTGGACAGTGAACTGCCACGACCTGATACACGGCCGCTTGGCCTTACGGCACTCCGGAACATCGGCAATACGTGTCTCATGAACACGGTGCTGAGAGTCTGGGATACATCCACGCCCCTACATGATTACGTCCTACGAGACGAGTACTCGAGAAAGATCAACAGAACTACCTCTGGCATGAAGGGTGCTCTAATCAGAGCGTTTGCCACGCCAATGCGAGACCCATAGAAGAGTCCAGATGAGGCGGGTCGGGCGTTGATCACCTCCCAACCTAAGGTACAATTTCAGCGGTTTGTAGCAACAGCAGGACGCACATGAGTTCCTTAGATACCTGCTGGAGTGCTTGCACAAAGACGTGAGCCGTATCGGATTCGAATTCAAGCCCAAAGCCACCATCATCTATGACAGCCCCGGTGCTAGCCAGAAACCGGTGGAGGCCTGGAAGCGTTTCCTGTTCCTGAAGAGCTCTAAGCTCGTATACCTGTTTGTTGGGCAGCTCAAGTCCACCTTGCGGTGCACGGTGTGCGCGTCCCTCGTGTTTAACCCTTTCTAGGCTCTGAGCTTGCTGATCCCATCACTGACGGGCCAGGTGTGCTTGCAGGACTGCTTTGACCTTTTTACCACGGAAGAGGTGCCTGACGGAGAAGAAAAGCCGATGTGTTCCATGTGCCAGAAGGGCCAAAGGTGCTCCAAAAACTTCAAGATTCAAAGGCTCCCACGTCTCATTGAAGTGCACCTGAAATGGTTCTCGCTGCAGTGGATCCGAACGGGCACAAGCAAGAAGACCATCATGGCCTTCTCTGCTAGTGGCCGGACCCGTCGCCATACCCGGACCCTAGCCTCACATACTGCCGTACCGGGAGGCTAGGTTTACAAGCTGTACGGCGCGACACACCATTCTGACATGGTGCGCTCGGGCCACCGCACGGCCCATTGTAAACGCTCCTGTTTGAGATTTTGGTAAGAGTGCAGTGACTCCTGATTCCAGGCCATCAGAAAGCACCGTGCCAACAATTACGAAGCATACATGCATTTGGTAACAGTACAGTGACTCCAGATTCCAGGCAATCAGTAAGCACCGCGCAACCAACTACAAAGCATACATGCATGCTGATGCCGGCATGAACGCCAGCACTCGAAGAAGTGTGAGATGGCTGACTTCCCTCTGGTTCTGTCGGCTTAACACTGTGAAATCCCATACCAGTGCGGAACGCTCCCCCTAGCACGCGCTCAGGTGAGGGTCAATTTGACCCCTGACGGTTTTGGCATGGCCGCGCCGAATGTTGCATTGCTGTAGACAATTTAATAGCACATCATGTGGTCTGTGGTGTGGTCATCATGTGGTCTGGTGTGGTCATCATGTCATCATGTGGTCACAATTTAGACGCACCTTGTAAGGTACCTGACCTACGGCAGATCACCCAGGCCTTGAACTCAGCGAAGATAATTTCTAGGGAATCGCTCAATCTAATGTAACAACGGAGTATTACACGAAACCATACATCTCTCGCATAGTGTCTCTAGCAACACAACAACTGGATGCACATATTTATTTAACCTATTGTCAGGTATGAAGGCCAGGCCAAGGTTAAAACAATCTAGAGCTTGTTGTGTAGCGTAGATTCTGGTGCTCATTTCGAACTGATTGATAACTGGAACGGCATTGCAATTTCCCATGAACTTTGTTTGGGTCGGAATAAGTCACGGGCCTAAAATCAGCGAAGTCAGCGTTTTGTTATAAGGAACATAACAAAATGCATGTTTTTGCAGAATTGCTTCCGAACGGCGCGGCGTAGCCGCACCGTCCGGAAGTCATTCCGCAAAAACCTTCAGAGGGGAGGAGCGTCACATTATCACACATATCACATTCACGTTCACGCAATTCATGAGTTCACGAGTATCACATTCACGCAAGCGCGCGCAAACGCAACGTTCGTTTGTTCATTGGTTCCATGCTTCCATTCCTACTATATAGACTCTCGCCTTTTCCTACCAAGAAATCTACCAGCTTGGAATACATTTTTTTGTTTCCGGAGTTTGAAATGCAGATTGGAGCCTTAAAGGGCATTTAAAATAAATTTAAAACATAATTTTATCACTCAAACCAAACTGAAGCACTTAACTCAACGTAAATTATTTTTTTACAGTTGGTTGCTGTAGAATAGAAAGCTTTGTCCGTGCACATGGCTCATCATTCCTTCCAGAGAATTCCGGAGCGAAGCCGATCTGATTGTTCTGCACATACTGACTTACTTAAGCCATTACGTTGTTATTACCAGACAGCGCTCACGCTGAACCCTGAGCCACATCGTAATTTTCAAAAAAGTTAAGGCAATAATTTTATAATTACATGCTTAAAATTAACAGTTTTGACAGTTTAAAACACGTGAAAATGTTTCGACCATTTGATACAAACATGGCGCATTTCAGACGATATTTTGTAGTGCTACCTTCGGCGCGTGCACGCACGCGGCCGGCGCTCCTTGATATTTGAGTCGCCGCGCCCTTGTGCAGTTTCCTGCGGTGGCGAAGTGCTAACTATCGATCGAAATAGATCGAACATCGCTGATTGGGATTGTCTAGGTCAGGTTTGTGAGATAGTTTCTGACGACTTGAAAATTTGATTTGCCTGCACCATGGCACTTCATGTCCCACGAGCACCCGGCATCGGGCAGATGCTGAAAGAAGGGTCCAAGGTAAGCAATGAATACAGTCCCTGAAAAGACTCGACTTGCAGATGTTTTCTCACTCCAAGGAGCTGAATGGCTTTGATAATTGGGGCTAGTTCAGTGCCAAATTTGTGGACTGCAATGTCTGCTAGAGTTTATTTGTTAGCTAAGTTTGGTTTGGGGCACAAAAGTTTGCATTGTGCTCCGTCATAACCCTCAAGCCAATCTGCAAAAATGTGTTGACTGCACTGGGTACCTGAGTGACACTGATCCAATGAGCCTTGGGTTGTAATTGGAGCATAAACATGCAGGTGAAATTGGTGAGGACAATTGCTTTCATCATTTGTTTTACAACTTGTACACTCCTACTCAAAGATGGTATGCTTTTTTCCTAAATTTTTGCATATTAATTACACCATAAAATATTAGCAACACACCATGCATCTACATGCTAGAGGTGCTAGAGGTGCCAGGTGCTAGAGTAGCTGCACTATGCACAAAGAACATAACCTAATGTAAATGCTGTTACTCATGCTTCTTTTTCCATCTCCACCTCTTTTTCTTGCTCTATCTCAGTCTTATGGTGCTGGTTAATATATTTGAGGTCTAGAAAAGTCTGCATATTTATAAATATTGTCATTGTAAAAAAATATCAGCCTTAATGGTCAGGTTGTACTTTCCTACCTCACGTTAGAAAAAATCATTGTACACTGTTTGTCGTGTTTAAGGCAGGACATCGTAAATAATCACAAACAGGTAGAATCATGCTCCTACCTTCGAATTTCAATAACTTTGATGGCGGGCTCCCGAGCGCCGCGCACACCGCACCGCCTGGACTCCCCAGCGCCATTTCTGCGTTGCCTTGTTGCATAAATACAATATTTCTGCTTACCAAGAACTCTACAAAATGTACGGGACCAAGGTAAACCATTCGTCGTTTTTAAGGCAGGACGTATCACAAATGATCACAAAACAGGTAGATTCATGATCTTACCTTCAATTTTTTATAATTACGATGGCGAGCTCCCGAGCGCCGCACACACACAGCACCCGCGACACCGGCGCCATTACTGCGCGGGTCACAACATTACTGCATCAAGCAGCATCAAGAACCATACAAATGTACCAGGTGTAGGCGCACACCCAAACGAAATCCCTCCGATGGAACCCGGGTCAAGTGAAATCCTCCTGTGGCTCGAATACTTCTTGTTGCCATGCATCAGCATCTGCGTACTTGTTGGTTAGACGAGAACACAACCTTGCTCTAAATCGTACTTGCCTTGTCTGATCATTGACTTGAGTCAGCATTCGGGGTGTGCGTGAATACTGCTGGGTTTGGGAACCGTGCTTTCAGCGTGTTTACCTCGTTTCCAGCATTTATCCGGCTTAGACGAGGCTGTGTATGGCAACATTCGCGCCTGCAAGGAGTTCACCGACACTCTTAAGACGGCCTATGGACCTCGCGGCATGAACAAGATGGTCATCAATCACATTGATAAACTCTTTGTGACAAGTGATGCAGCCACAATCATCAGAGAATTGGAGGTACGTGAAAGGGATGGGGGAATCATTGTGCTCTTCGTTTTGTTTTAGTCGAGTCGATTCTGAATCCGCCCCACGGTATGTGGATCTGATTCCAATGTTGGTGCCGAGCAGCCCAGCAGTATTCGTGTGCGAATCCGATGTCAACTGTGAAGTATGTGGTGTTTGTAAATTTACTTAAGTCCTAAAGCTTCTAAACGTGTAAGGTACCCCAACACGGCCTTAGGCTGTTTTTTGTTGTTGATTACCCCACAATTGCAACCAACACGCATGCCTAGATTCGGATTTCGAGACATTCAAGGTCTTAAAAAGGTTTTGTTCTTCCTAGGCTGTTGTAAAGTGCGATTGATATTAAAACCCATTGGGTTTTCTCCCCGTGGTGCGCTTATTGGCTGTTCGCATTAGAACCCTTTCGATCAGAAATGAGCATTTCGGAGTGATTGGATGAAGGAAAGTGGTTAACGGTAGGCATGCTTGCATGCGTCTCTGGGATCAACCGCCGAGCTATAACCCGCGCATGTGCACTGGATACCCGGTCGGGGTTCCCTTCCCACGGGGCTCTGTCGGCCCACTCATGGCTCACGCATGCAGCCTTCCCCTGGATAAGCGGTGTGTCGCGAGGATGCAGGATGAAACGAGATAGAGGATGAGAGGGACGGGACGGGTGCGCTGACATTAGTGTTAATTGAAATCGTGCGTCGATGTGGGATGCTTTGTGGTTCTGATTTGTACTGCGCGTGCAGTAATGCAGGGCGTGCGCAGCACCCGACATGTGCGGTAAGCGTGCCTCACCCTGACCTCACCTCACCTGACCTCACCTCACTTCACCTCACCTTATCTCACCTCACCTGACCTCACCTGACCTCACCCTGTACCCGGCCGAAGTACCAGTTGAATCGTCTTGCCGTATCGGCTTGCATTCCTTGCGCGCCATCATGTTCTTTTGACGCACGCACGTTGCCGGGGGTGGCGATAGCCGTGAGTCGTTCTATAGTCGGATTCGGAGGCGCCTCTTACGATTGTGGTCTGGCTGCGACAGGTGGAACATCCGGCGGCGAAGATGATGATTCTCAGCTCGCAAATGCAGGAGCAGGAGGTCGGGGATGGCACCAACTTCGTTCTCATCATGGCTGGATCGCTCCTGGAGTCGGCAGAAGACCTACTCAGGATGGTGAGGGCACCGCATGCATACTTACTGAGGCGTCTTCATAGAGACGCTAGTGTAGGATTGCGTCTTAGATAAGCTCTGCCAGTCTCATGATAGTTTTTTAGTGTATTGCAAAGTGAAGATGGGTTAATTCGGTGATGCTTTTTTGCGTCGTGTCATGATGTCTTCAAAAGAGCCTAATATATTTGACGACTGCGTGATAAGAGGTCTGCTTGCCCAGCGGTTCGGTGACTGATAGTGTCTTATTTTTAGCAGGGTACTGTCATGAATGAACATAGTTGACTGTGCCTGACATAGGCGGGCGAAGCAAGTTTCGACTCATGCGCGCTGCTGTGGATTTTGCGTATGTCGTCGAACCTGACATTTTTACACGGGGATGCACCCCCCCCCCCCCCCTGCCCCTCCATGTCGGACATTGACCCGACCGCGCTCTGGACCAGGGCCTGACGCCGACGGAGGTGGTGGAGGGATACGAGATGGCGCTGAACAAGGCGCTGGAGCTGCTGCCAACGCTCACCTGCGGCGAGGTCAAGGACGTGCACAACGAGGCCGAGGTCAAGCGGGCCATCCGGCCGGCAGTGATGAGCAAACAGTACGGCAACGAGGACTTCATCACCGATCTCATCACCAAAGCGTGCCGTGAGTGGAGACCGGTCTGCGGCCAAGGCGACGCTAGCTGGTGACCGGGGTGACGTGAAATCGGGACATACAGGCGGATGCAAGTTTCAAGTCGCTTTCACTGTTGCTATGCACAAAGTGGCCGCTTAATTGACTACTTAGCACGCTCACTGCATTGCATTGTTTGTTCTTTTCGTTGTTTGAATGAAAGTTATATTTCTAGTTTTTTTATGAGCCATTCAATATGATAATGTTTGAGGAAAAATGAAGTATGATTTAAAGCGATATTTTCTAGACACTAATAGCTTGCACATCTTTGCTGGGAAGCCGCTGCAAGATGGTGTGTTAGATCGCTATCACGGCAAGTCAAAAGGTATTTTTGAGTTTTTGCGAGCATAAGATGTTGATGGTATCCTTGGCGGCGCGGACAAGACCTCGCCACTTCCCCCCGCCGTGCACCTCCGCGCCTGTATCGGCTGGCCCCAGCGCTCACATTGGTCTTTTCCGGCCGGCAGTATCGATCCTGCCAGAGAAGACTGCCTTCAGCGTCGACAACGTGCGCGTCTCGAAGATCCTGGGCGCGGGTCTGCTCAGCTCACAGGTGGTGCAGGGCATGGTGTTCCGGCGCGAGGCCGAGGGCACCGTCACCTCCATGGAGAAGGCCAAGGTGGCCGTCTTCACGTGTCCCGTCGACATCGCCGCCACCGAGACCAAGGTGAGCACCGCCGGCCGGCGCGCGCCGCAGCTGCGAGAAGCGTGTCGCGCGCGCACGGTTGGAGCGGACGCGGCCTCCAGGGATGGAGTACCTGACCATTCATGCTGCCAGGCCCAGGAAGGCTATATGGGTCTGCCCAGCTTGAGAGTGGCCGTCATTTGGGCGATCCGCTCACGGTGTTTGCTTGATTCCAGTGGAAAGCCCCTTGGCCTGTTGATAAGTTTGCTGGTGACGCACGGACGCACCCTAGGTACTCGATCAATAGACTCACTCGTCCGCCGCGGCAATTGCAGCCACAAACGCCCGAAGAACTTTCGGTGTTCTACAAACAAAACGCCTCATGCAACGTCGAGTTTACATGTCATTAGAGCAGCGTTACACGTTATCATTTTGAACGAATTCTGTAATTGCTTGTTATGATGAAACAGCCAAATACAGGCGTACAAAAAGCGTGCTGTGTGCGGACTTGTGCGGCTGTACTCTGTGTGCAATGAACAGGGCGAAATGTTGCTTAGATGCCTTTCGGCATGTCATGCCATGCTGGCCACCGCGGATCTGTGCGCCTTTTCTGGTGGTGGTTGCTGGCGGCAGTTACGACTCAGAGAGGATTTGCACACATTTTCGTGGTGGAAAGACGCAAGCATCATGCAGGCACGCGCAATTACTGTGCGTGGCCCCTGCTCAAAAAGAAATACTGAAATTCGTGCCAATGTTTCCACCTGTCGATGAACATAATTTGGAGCTCTGTTCAGGGCGAGGCTGAGTGAAAAGGTGAACACGTAATTTTTGACTGATGACTCGTAATTGTCCGGGAGCGGTGGCGTTAAGACGTTTGTGCTACAGCAACAACTCCCACCGACAGAAGTGTTACGACTGCAGTTATACACAACGTTGATTCTAATGCAAAACTCATGCAAGCTTCACTCATACGCGACATCCCTTCTACTGCAAAGACTTATGCACGACGTGAGGCTACACAACTTAACTTATGCTGTAAAAAATTATTTCCGTCATTTATCCAACAGAGACTGATACTGTCTTTACTTATACGCGTCATTGCTTCTGCTGCAGCGGGTTATGTGCTACATTTTTGTTATGTGCTCTCCACAAAATTTGCAAAATAGTGGAAAATTATATTTGAAGAAGTCTACGCTCGTTATTATGTCTGCTGTTAAAACCTGTATAGTTTTCACTTGTCAACAATTGTTTTCCTCGGCCAATACTTATATGCGACATATATACACTACGACTCAGGCCATAACCCACATTTTATAACAATCAGTGCCGTAACATGAAGGTAAATCATCACCGAAATTATGCAGAGGGGACACACGCACGATATCTTTTGGCCTTGCGAAATCAAACTGCGGGTGCCTAGTCCCATGGCGTCAAGGTATTATTGCTGCTGTGAATGTTGTGGTTCACAGACCCACGGCGACAATGGTTCGACACGACATTTTTCCTACTGAATCTGCTAGTCTACCCATCTACTTTATTTTCGCTTGATGCGCAATCTCTGTGCCAGTTGTCCACGATAAATACGTATGTTGGCAACAACTGACAGACCTTCGTGACGTACCATGTTCTGGCATTTTCAGGGTACCGTTCTCATTAAGTCTGCTCAGGAACTGAAGGACTTCTCCCGCGGAGAAGAGAACCAGCTAGAAGAACAAATTAAGGCCATCGCCGCCACGGGAGCCAAGGTATCGTGGTCGAGGAATACCGAGCATCGACTGATTATTGGCGCTACTTCAACGAACGATAAGAGCGAACGATAAGAAGTGTGTTGGGATGATCCGGACAGAACCGGACACCATTGCTGACGGTTGCCCGTGGTCTGCGCGCCACGTGCCACGTTTTGCGCGGCCCAGGTGTGGAATGACCTCCGCGGCCAAAGCGCCGTCTTTGAGCCATCCCCACCATTCACGGCTGGCCCACATGGCGCCCGGCCCTGCGAGGCTGCCCGTCTCCCCTCGCGTGGCGTTTTCCCTGTCCCGCCCCGCGCCGCGCCGCGCCGCGCCGCGCCGTGCTCTGCCCTGCTCTGCCGTGCTCTGTCCTGCTCTGCCCTGCCCGTGCCTCAGTCCCTCCCCCCCCCCCCGCAGGTGATCGTGGCCGGCGGCAATTCGGCGACATGGCGCTGCATTACGTCAACAAGTACGGCCTGATGGCGGTGCGCATCATGAGCAAGTTCGACCTGCGCCGGCTGTGCAAGACGGTGGGCGCGACGGCGCTGCCGCGCCTGACGGCGCCCGCCGCCGGCGAGCTGGGCTACTGCGACCGCGTCTACACGGACGAGCTGGGCGAGACGGCCGTGGTCGTGTTCCGCCAGCAGGCGGCCGAGAGCCGCATCGCCACGGTCGTCGTCCGCGGCGCCACCGACAACATGATGGACGACGTCGAGCGTGCCGTCGACGACGGCGTCAACAACTTCAAGGCGCTCACCAAGGTCGGTGCTGGGCGCGGAGGCGGGTGGGGGCGGGGCGGACTTGGCGCTACTGCTGAGCTCGTGGTGCGAGTGTGCTTGTTTGGGGAGAGAGGTTGGCGTCGTTGCCGTTTGTTTGGTGTGGATGAAGCGGTTCGGGGTAGTTCAAGATCCGGGTTGCTGGGCTTGGTCAGACGGTTGATCAACATCTCGTTTGGAAATGACGACCTCGCTATCGCCAATCCCCGCCATATATGCGTCATGGCCGCCCGCCACGCCCTCCCGCGTGCGCGCCTAACCCGCGCCGGCCCCCGCCCATAGGACGGCCGCTTACTGCCAGGCGGCGGCGCCTGCGAGATGGAGCTGGCCCACCTGGTCTCCCAGTACGCCGACACGTGCCCCGGCCTCGAGCAGTACGCCATCAAGCGATTCGCCTCGGCGCTCGAGGTGTTCCCCAAGGTCCTGGAAGACAACTCGGGCTGAAAGTCGACCGAGCTGCTGTCTCGGATTTAAGCGGCACACCAGGAGTGCCGAAAGACGGCCGCATTCAACGTTGAGATGAGACTTGTGCGGCGGGGCGGCGTTGGCTGCACGCCGCTGCCAGACAACTCTCCTTGTCCCTGCTGTCCGCGGGGGGGAGCGGCCAGGCTCGCTGTCCGCTGGGCTGGAGCGGCCGGGCTCGGTTCGCGGGGCTGGGTGGAGGCTCGCTCTGCGGGGCTGGAGTGGCGATGCTCGCTGTCCGCTGGGCTGGAGCGGCCGGGATCGCTGTCCGCGGGGTTGGAGTGGCGAGGCTCGCTGTCCGCGGGGCTGGAGCGGCCAGGCCCGCTCTCCGCGGGGCTGGAGTGGCGATGCTCGCTGTCCGCTGGGCTGGAGCGGCCGGGATCGCTGTCCGCGGGGTTGGAGTGGCGAGGCTCGCTGTCCGCGGGGCTGGAGCGGCCGGGCTCGCTGTCCCCGGGGCTGTTGCTCCATTTGCGGGTGGCTACAAGGCAAGATAGCCCTGACAGTCCGTGTGGTCCGATGACATTGAGGACCAAGTAACAGAGTCAATGCCAGCGAGCGCAAGAGCTTGTGTGAAGTGAGACGAGCCAGGGGTATAGCCAGGTGGCGTCAGGGGTCTCAACACGCGATCCGGTGGGGGTCGCCTTAGCCATTTA